GGGGCGGCCGGGCCCGGAGACGCTGCGGCCGGCGGGGCTCCCTGGGCCGAGGGAGGGAGAGGCCCGGCCGCGCCGATGGAGGCGGGAGAAGCCCCGCGGGGCTCCCTGCGCTCCTCGGCCCGGCCACCCACCTTCTGCTCCTCGGCCGAGGCGGGCTCGGGGCTCTCGGCAGACATGGCGCCGCGGCAGCGGGACGGCGGGGCCGGGAAGGAGGGAAGCAGGGAGCGAGGGAAGGAGACGGGCGGGAGGCACGGCCGCGGCTCCTCCGCGCTGCTGCTGCTGCTGCCGCCTCCTCCCGCACAAGATGGCGGCGGGCGCGACGGAGCGTCGGCGGGGCCAGACTTCCTCCGCCTCGGCCCCCGCGCGCGGGCTGGGGAGCGGGGGCGGGATCCGCCTGCGCCCCGCGCGTCACGTCCGGGGCCGCGGGTTCGAGGCCCGCGCTTGGGGGCGGCTCTCGGAGCCCGCACGGCCCGGTGCCCCTCCTGTTAGAATCACAGAATTACAGACACATCGGGGCTGGAAGAGACGTTCAGTGTGGTCCAGTCCACCCTCACAGACGTCACTGTAACCACTAAAGCACATCACCCGGTGCCAGGCCATACGTCTCAAACACCTCCAGGGATGGTGACTCCACCGCCTCCCTGGGCAGCCTTTTGCAATGCCTGACCAGGCGAACAGTGAAATTCTAATACCGAATGTGTAAATGTGAATGGCCCGTGTCTCAGCTTAAGGCCATTTCCCCTGGTCCCCTCAGTGGCCCCAGCTCCGCTCCCCTCACCACAGCCCCCTCAGCCCGGCCCGTCCAGCCTGCACGGCCTCCCCTGCTCAGCATCAGGGGAAAGGGGAAAGAGCCTTTGCTGCTTGGCTAAAGTTAGTTCTCTTGGCCCTTTTAGTGATCAAAATACAAGGAGCTGAGTCCTCCACAGCATTACTCGAGGATCTCGCGAATCCCAGACAGCAGCTGACAGGATAGGGAGGCTCAGTCCATTGGAACTTCTTAACAGCACAGTATCAAGTTATACTGAGTATTTTATTCCCTCCCTATCTCCTTTTCACTGTCTGGTTCTTGGCTGAAAAATAACCTTCTGTGGACTCTCTTCAAGAGCATAAGGAGGGGTTTAAATAGCCCACCATTAATAAATGGATTATGTGAACAGCAAGGTATGGATTAGCACAGCTCAGGAGGGACTGCCAGGACAGGCTTTGTGCGATTATGGTCGGGAAGAACGTGAGAGGCAGGTCAGAAAGGTCTGGGAAAGCTGAAGCTGTCAACGATTTTGCCACAGCGGAACTGTACTAAATACCCCACAAGGCAGCAAGTGGAAGAGATTTTTTTGTGCACCTGAGAGATTCATCCAGAGACCAGGATCATGTAGCTGTGGGGAGCCCAAGGAATGTGCATATTCCTCATTCAGAAAGGGATACAGCCAGGCAGGTTGCACAGAAAAATAATCATAGGATGCACCAGTGGGTTTTTTTCCTAATGATGAAAAAAACCCAATGATAGTGGTGGGTGTGCCACATTTGCTTCTAGCAAAATCAAGGAGAAATGGTCTGAAAGTGTGAAAAACAGAGCAACATAGAAAGAAGATAATAAAAAGGATGAAGTTCATTGATTTTAAAAGGAAAAAGAACAAAGCAGTGGCAGCAGACAAGAATGCAAACTCCGGGAATTTCTTTCAAATCTTTTAGGGAATTAATGTGAGGGAAAACAGTTTCAAGGATTCAGCAGTTCCTTATATGCAGTTATTTCTTTATGGGAACACAATGCAGAGCAAAGATGGGAAATAAATTCAGAACCTCAGGAAAAGCCCATGTTCTTCAATGGCCTCAATTACAAGAAAGCAGCCTACTAGGTCAGTTTTTAAGGATGTGTACCTAAAGCAGATCACGAAGACAAGGGGGTACTGAAATATTACTGAACAAAACTTTTAAAGACTAACGTGTTTAATGTTTGTTTTTGTTCAATCTAGCATGATCAAGGTAAATAGTGTAACAAAGTATAGCCTCTAGCTGGAATAAGGAAAGACTGGTTTGCAGGTTACTTTAATTAGTTTTGGTAAATATTTTCAACTTGGATGAAAAAATATCCTTAAGAGATTAGAGAATGACAGAAGCAATCTCCAGTTAATTACTGGTGATTCATATAGGAACCTGTGAAAAATGAATGGGTTTCCAGGAGTCAGTTTTCCTGAATTTGAGTATGGGGAGGACAGAATACAAGCTATATAATTTGGCTGTCAATAATGACTTGAAAAATCATCTAAAAAAAGAACTCAAAAGAAACCGAGTAGCTAGGCAGGAATTCACAGTTAAGAACAAGGGTTTCACACAATCATCTTTCCTTTAAGAAAAAGGAAATAGACCATGTGGAGAAGTGGGTGAAGGTGGCTGAAGTTCCAGATGCCTTCTGGCATTAATGAGGCTTCTGACACTTTCCCATGCAAATTAGGGAAACTTAGATAAATCTTTAATGTGGTGAATGCAAGTTTGTTGGACACAGCTACGAATTCTCCCAACAGCAATGCTGTGTTCAGCATATAAAATCTTGGGTAGTGAGAGAATAAAGTTCAGTAAGGAGAGCTACTATTTTGGGAACAAGCAGGTTGGATGTCTCTTATGCTGGGTTACAAGAATGAATGCAAGTTGACATCTGATACTGAAAACTATTGTATTCCAACAGGATGCATGAAGAGGACTTTAATCCATACGATTTATCAACCAATTCTTCCAGTCTGATTGGGAGAGAAGCCCTGACTGGGATGCTATGTCCAACCTTACACACTACAAGACTGATTCAGTCCAAAAGAAGAAAGCAAAGAGCCAGAATGATGAGAGGTGAACAAAATAAAGGCTGGCTGAACAGGATGGGATTGTCTTAGTTATAAAAAAAAAAAAAAAAAAAAAAAAGACTGAGAAGGGACATACAAGAACTAAATTGTTTGCTTACAGTGAAAAGGCTAAGTAGTATTTAACTCAACTTCAGCAACATTTAGTTGGATGTTATAAATCCTTATATAACCATAACTAAATGTATATAGTATAACTAAATGTTATACTTTGTCATGGTAAGTATAATTTATCACTGGAAGAGATTACTTGTAGCAGCCATCATTGGAGGCCCTTATAAACAACTCAAACATTTATTAAAAATAATTGTGTATGGTTGAGCCTGTTGAGGAATAGAGAAACCAATGATCTCTCAAAAATTAGTCTAGTCTTAACCTAAGCTTAGAAGGTCATGTGGAATTTAGTTCATAGTTTATGAGCAGCCAGCATTTTTCCAGGTGTGTCCCTAATGGAAAGTGTTTACTCAGATCAAGCTGTAAATGGAGAATGACTCAGTAAAATCAAAGTTGTGCACAGATAATCCAAGGTCACTTTCATTCCAAATCCACATAGGGACTAAATGTAGTTTGACTATTAAAGTGAATACAAATTTATTTCCTAGACATGACTTGTAGTAACCACATATTCAAAATCCCCACTTCTTTGCTATTCAAAGCAAATTAATGAAAGAAGATGACTTGAAGAAGTCTATTTAAATAAAGTTATCAAGATACAAACATTGCAGAATGCCAATGCAAAAATAAAAGGTTAATCTACTACTAATGGTGACTTTTCATTAAAAATGTGTCCTTTCCTCGTGTGTTTTTTCATTGAGCATGCAAGCAAGCTGTGCACCATGACACAAATAAGCAGTTTGAGGATACATGCTATTTGCTTATGACTCAATAGCAGCTACACAGAAACTAGGACGCCCTCTTGATATCCCAGTCCATGCCTTAGTTCTGTACACAGTACAGCTGCAGTTGTGTTTGCTCCTCTGCTACCAAAAGAAACCTTTCTCAGTTTTAAAGGCTGCACAAATGACTAGAAACTGCAAACAATCTCTTCCTGTACAGTTTCCCCCGATTCTCTCTAAAATGAATGCTAGGTAAACCTTTGAAAACCTGGTGTAGCAGAGTGGAAAACACTGCTGACGTGGGGAGAGGACTCAGTAATATCTGAGCTTTGCCCTTCTGGAGCAGCAGTCATTTGCATGTACAAGATAGCTGATGAGTATCATCTGGAAAGTCCAGTCTCCCTTACGTTCCCTGGCAGACTTCCTGGAGATTTCATGATACACTGACTTCTCTCATCTAGGGGCAGTGCTGAATATACAGGATGCACATTCATCCTTTCTCCAGTCTTCATCAGATAAGCATGGTAAAGGGCACCTTGCATATTAGTGACACTCTAAAAACCTACAGCAAAGTAAAGAAAAACACAAATCAAGGTAAGACAGCTGAGAAACTCAGATCTTCATCAAATGTCATAAAGCTTCATTTCCATTATGAAATATATAGCTCAAATATAATAAAATGCTTCTAACTTTATTTCTCTCAGTTACACAGTTTAACACTTAGCATAAACTGTTCATCTGACTGTTTTGTTGTAGGAACACACACACATATTGGAAAATAGTCATATGCCCAGTGTAGCATTGCCAGTAAAACCTCCTATGGCCACCTAGTGGCCTACATGGAATTGACCTATGAAAAATATTTAGGATTACGTGAAGATCCTCTCATCTAAAAATAAAACAAAAAGTACAAGTTTTATAGCTTTTGCATATATTTGAGATATAAATACTAATTTGTTTGCACAGTACATCCTTTAACACAATTTGAGAAATAAAATGGGGGAGGGTGCAAATTTTATCTGAGGAAAATTAATAACAGAAAGCAAAATTAAAATGGCCCTTAAGGAAAGAAAAAAGAAATTGAGGGAGCAAAATGTGAATTGAATTAGTGATCTGAATGAATAAGTGAGTAAATAAACAATCTGCAGTGTGGTTGCAAGTGTTATTAAATCTGGATGTGAGAAAAAATGGAAAATGGTACCATTAAAGAGAAAAAAACAGCTAAATGCTTGCATAGTATGAAATGTTATGGAAATTCACCTGTTGTCCCCATTTTCAATAACTTAAATGAATATCACTTAAAACAGCACACAGATTAAAGACATCTGTATATATTTCAGATTTCAATATTAATGCCAAAAATACATAGTATGATTTTACATAGGATTTATGCTACATTAGAACACTAAAGACAAACATCACTTGAGTATTAAATGAAACATTAAATATTAAATAACTGAAAAATAAAATAAAAAGTGTAAACACTAAACTAACTTGGGAATTTGCTATTGCAACACATCCAATGAAGTGGTTTTAAACAGTACAAAAAGATTAGATTTAAGTATGTTTCCAGTCTACTTGGAATACACAAAGCTCATTCCAGAAACCTTTTAAAAACTGGTCCAGGATCACACAGAACCTTCTTTCTCTTGAGCGCTATTTTTATTCCTTTACAGACTTAACTTGATACTGTTGTCTCTACCAATCTTTGCTTGCAAGGAGTACTCAACAGTAAAATGAATACTTGACTTTGCCATTGTTTGCTAGCATCTTGGTGAAAACTGAGGATTTGTTGGAGATTCAGTGTAAGATTTGAGTTCATATGCAGCGCCGCTATCAACTTCCATGGATTTCCGAGAGAATAGGAGCCTTACATCTCTGTGGAGGTAGATCTTTCCAGATTTAGAACTCTGGAACCTGAAAAGATACAAATATCTGTATTACCTAAACCAAAATAATAATATTTAAAAATTATTAAATAAAATGCACTCTTAAAACATTTAAGGCCAAAACACATTTGAACAAACAAAATTAGTCAGTTAAAATGAAAAGAGAAAGAGTATCCTAACACCTTCATTCTGCTTTGTTTCTTTTGACATTTAAAGGTTCTGTTCCTAATCACCAATGCAGTGCACAGCTTTAAAAATGGCATGGCATATTTGAGTTCACACTGCTATTATGTACATTGTAGACTAAAGTCCTCAGAAATCAGGAATGGCAAAAACTGCTCTTCAGTGAGCACTCCTAAAAATGTCCAAAGGGTGGCCTAAGCACACACAAAAAGGAATTTTCAACTATGTACAAACTGAATATGCATTTCAGTTCCAGCAATTATATAGACAGATCTCATTGCTCATTTTATGAATGTAACACCAGGAAGTTTACTACTGCTTTATACCACACTCCAAAGATAAGAACATGTCTTGAGAAGCAGTCGGTGCTGGGATCTCTGCAGGCAGACAGAATTTTTTTTGCACAGACTAGGAAACATTTCTAAGAGACTGCAGTTCACTGGCCCAATCACCAAGCAAACAGTGGTCAATTCCTCAGCCCATTCATCTTTTATGCTGCAGCTGAACACCCTAATTTAGGTCCTCCAAACCTGCAGGAATGTGCCAGTTCCACTTCCCCTAGGTATTAACAACTGTATATAGGGAGACAAGATCTGCATTTCAGAGAACTGTATTCTATAGTTTTCATGTCACAGAACTCTGATTTCCTTCTCTCCTCCATGAAAGGCAGAAGAGCCTAAGGAACATTTCTTACAGCAGCTGAACTGATGTCAGTACCACTATGCCACAGCGACAGAGAAATGCTGTTGCTGCTGCAACAGAAACAGAAAAGCCATTGCTGTTGTCACAACAAGATGATACCATGGCAAATGCTGAGAGAGCAGTGCATGCTGTGTTATCATGTATTACAGTTTGCACAGATTTTTAATAGGCTTGTACATATTGACCCCCTTGAAGCAAAAGCAGTATCTCTAGAATAAACCTATTCAAAACTGGACTGAAATTCTGAACAGCAGGAGAAAGACAAGTACAGAAGATCCACCAAGGCTTCATCGTCTGAGGAAGGTAGGTTGCAGAAATGGATTCTGTGGCACTGTTCTGTTCAGAGGAGTGGTGCAGAATAGCCTGTAGTCAGCCCCACAGCCAGACAAAGGAAAACTCTGTTCTCCTAGATACAGCTGTCAAGGACATTAAATGCAGCAGGGTCCAGCAGAATGCTCCTACTGGCTCCCACAGAGATCTCATCCATCACTATTTATTTGCACGGCGCTGTCAGTGTGAAAGCCCTTTACCTGATAGGCAAAAGGGAGAAGACACTATCTTAAGAGAAGACTGTGGAGGAGAGCACAAGGAAGAGTGAAAGACACAAGGGACAAAGCAACCACCACAAACAGTTAACTCAGAATCTAGCTCATAACACATTTTAAAAAGAAAAAAATTAGTGAAAGGTCTATTGCAGCAAAAGTATGATTGAAATTAATTCCTACAGATCTAGTTATCAAAGCACCATCATAAAATAGATCTCAAGCTCCCATTTCACACATGGATCTTTCAAAAGAATTATTAGCATGGTCTATTTTTAAACCTCTCAAGCTTGCTCTTTTCTATGAGTGATAATCCTGCAAGACTCCCTTTGCTCAGTAAATAGTGGTTCCCTGCAACATGACTTTTCTGAGCATGACATTTCAGGAAGATTGAAGAAGGATAAGTGTGCGACAGCAGCAAAGTTCAAGGGATTCTTCTCATCTCTGCATCCCTTACCTATTTTTTTCTTTTCTTTTAGACAGGTCTAACCTAGTAATTGGAATTTAGAAGTGTTGATTTTTATACATGCAAATGCATTTGAATAATCGAGATAAGCATTCCATACATCCTTGCAAGGTGGTGATGGAGTGGCCAGCATGGGACTGACTGGAGCTGTGGCAGCTCCAGTTAGTTTTGTGTAAAGAAGTTAAAAAATCACAACACAACCAAGGTCTCTGACAGATGGTGTCCTAGGAACAGTAACAACAGACAAATACAGGAATAATTAAACACACAAATATCAGATGCTAGAAAGTCTGGCAGAGGAACTTTACTGAAGAAATGACAAATACAAGCACAAAGTCCCTATATGTATTTTGTAGGCCATCACAATTCACAAAGAACAGAGTAATGCACAGAAACAGAATAATCTTGAAAAGCAGGATAATCATGAAAACATCTGTAGCAAGATGTGTTTTGTAAGTGAAAAAGACTATACAACACAACCTATAAAATCTGTAACTGAAAGCATTAGGACAAGGATAACAATTTATAGATAAGAAAAAATGCTGAGAGACCAGAAATATCAAAAGCAGCTAGTAAATCAGTAATAGCAGGTATCTTCAGCTTCCACCAATAAAGGTGTATGTCACATAAGGACAGTATTTTAAAAGTTTCTCAACACCTTGAGGTATCCCTACTTTTTAACAACCAGTTTCAAGCTTACCCTCCACTGAGCCCTCAGTAACAACCCCTGTTTAGCTGTTAAGCAACAGCAACTATGCTCCATGCAATTCCTGGCATCGTGTCAGTAACTAAAGCTGTTGACCAAGCTTTAAAATCTTGAAAAATGCTGAGCTGTGGGCAGGTTAGCTGTTTAATTACTTTTTACAAGGGTGCCAGAATGTGACCTAGAAACCCACAGATGGTCATCATCTCCACAACGCCAGGCAGAAATGAGGCACAAGCAAAGCTGAGCTCACAGCTCTTATGCTCAAGTAGATTTAATTACAGGACAAAAAGTCATTGCTTCACATGCAAAGAAAAATTTATGCCTAAAGCATCTTCAAAAAACAACTTAAACTGCAGGTGCAACTCTTGGGGGTTTTTAATAATGAATAAAGCTCTGCTGTGTGTGCAAGCTACATTTGGTGTCCCAGTCCTGTAGCTGTGGGTACAAGTACAGTCTGATGGCATATTGAACAGAGCCTCAGCCACACAGAACTGCATGCAGAAGCTGCACATACAATAAATCTGACACTTTAAAGACTGTTGTAGAAAATCTGGCCGCCAGTGTTAAGCTCCAGACCTGTGCAAGCGTTTTTGCTGAATTACCACTTGAAAAGGAGCTTTCATAATGTGAGTGCTGACAACTGTGATTAAGGCCTGCAAGCAGATGCGACCACAATGCAGCTCACTGGTGGTGACTTCATTTGTTTTTTTAAACAAAATTTCAATACGTAAGCCTAAGATACTTGTGCTCAATGACTACTGCAACTAAAACTGAAAGGCTGTTCTAAGTCAACTTGAGCAACAAACAAAAAGAAATTTGAATAGTTAAAACCTTTTAGGTTTGCATAACTTTTCAGTAAAGCAGGCTTGAGGAAACTTTGCTCCTTTTAAAAATGAAGCTTTAAAACCAACTTACACGAACTAATATACTACTAAGACTTTTTAAGCCCTCCTAATTAAAATCCGTCTTTAGTAAAGAAGGCTACTACATGGACAACTGAGTCTTTTGTAAAACCATAAGTGCTCAGTATAATAAACCACAAGACAGATCAACATAAGCTACTTTAACATTTCAAGGAATTCTGCCATTCTTACATTATGAGAAAGGACCCACAGCTTGGGCTTATCACTGAAGAAAAACCTTGTGGCATACTCTGTAGTTTTTCACTTTCCAAAGTAAGCAGCTCAGCATCATAATGATGATTTTGGTTTTCCCATCAGAAATGGATGCATTTCCAATTACACATCATAAACCCATGAACTGATCCCTACCAGAGGTCTGAAAGCTGAGCTGAATTGTACAGATATCTCAAAATAAAAAGTAACAGAACTGCAACATTTCTGTCTCTCAGCAGGTATCAGAAATAGGAAGCTCTTCAAAAAGACTTCTAGCTGCATCAGATGAGAGAGCAGAAAGCAGGTTTGCCTTCAAATAAAAGTAATTCCTGATTCTGTCAACAAGAAATTTACAAACAACATTAAAGTAGAAATTGAAAGGGGACACAAGACCACTACTCCTCATGCAGGTATGCTAGACCCAGCTGGCCACAGATTTTACCCACCACTGCAGCCAAGGCCTGTCCCCAGTTCCTCTGCACACTCAGATCAACATTACACCTGAACAGAGCCATCTGTTGGGGCTACACACTTTTTCAGAATTTGCCCCAAAACAAAAATTTTGGAAGGTGGTTAGGTTAGACCTTGCAAGATAGTGTGGCCTGAAAGGCTGAATTTCAATCCAGGCTGAATTTCAGAATGAAAACACTGTTCAACAGCCTTCTCATGACACTATTTTCACACTCCAGTAAACCAAAACACTTTTTATGACTGTCAACTTCCATTTAATGGCAGAGTCTGGCTTAGAATCGCTGTTCTTGACAAGGTTGTGTTTGAAAAGTCTGCTGGATAGAAATCAATGCCACTAAATAGGAAAAATAATATGCACCAGAAATAATTGCAACATAAAACAACAGAGAATTGTAAGATATTTGATTTTGTTCTGCTTGCTCACTTCAGAATGTCAGCTGCTGGTGGGTTTCCCCACCCAAGTGCTGCAGTGAAAGCACTGGGTCTGTGTGTACAGACATTTCTTACTACAAAAACACACACAAAAATTCTGCAAACTGCAGGAGGACAGAGTGTATCCATCATTCCCCTTTGTTTCCAACTGCAGTTTCCAGAACACCCCAAGAGCAGCAGCACAGTGTCTAGTTCCAGGCAGTGCTTTGTAAATCATTTAAGGAAGATTGAGTGAATATTTTATTAAGTGAAAGGCATCATCACCAGTATTGCATCATGAAACAGCCATTTACATTTTTGCCACTAAACACTGTATTTTTAGGAGCAGCTCAGACCGTTTTTCGTGTTATAAACTATTCTGGTGAAGAGCACATGTGAAGCACACCTTCCTTTCAGTGTTCCTTAGTTTTGGCTTTTGCTCATGTAACATCCACTTTCACTATTTCCTCTAACCTCAAAAAATGTGCATTGATTCAGCCAGAACAATTTCTCTCTCACTAAGAAAAGGTTTAAGCTTTATAATGCTATACAACATACTTTAATGCCAAGAGAGAGCTTTATGTTATATTTTAACTTGGTTTCTCCCAAGGACAACCCAAATTATTTATTACCTCTTTTTCCTCTACTGTCTAGCTTAAAGACCAAGACAGCATTCTTTTTTTTTTAATTTTTTTCTTTTAATTCTTTCTTATTTCTGTATACAGAAAGGCTGGCTGGGGAAGAAATTATGAGTTAAATTTTGGCAGATACTTTTTTGTGGTTTTGGCTTGGGTTTGTTGGGAGATTTTTGTTTTATTTTGGTGTTTTAACTTCGAGGAGCTTACCTCAGATGTATGAGGTAGCGTAGTAGCCTTTCTTCAGTCTGGTGGCTGTTTTCTTTATTGACATTTCGCTTGATTTCTCGTCTCACAGGAACAGAAAAAGTTCTTTGCCGTAGGAATGTTTGATGATTAGCTGGCATTTCTCTCAAGTCATAGATCACCACAAACATCTTCACCACAGTTTTGTTAGGGTTAAATAAGGTCTGAAAAGACAAACAGTTCAATACAATACTATTTAGAGATGACAATTTTTTTTAAAAAGAACAACAAATCTAACCCAAACTCAATCTGTCAAAATAGTTATCTATGCACTTTGTTTCTGTGCCATACAGAAATATTTATGTAAAGACATTGTGAAGCCTTTCTGGTTTTCAACACTTCAGCTACCAGCAATTCCCATTTTAATGATATTATAATTATAATGCTAAACACAATCTAATCTGAATGAAACACTAGTATATGACTACTCTTACTTTGCTAATCAGCATCCCCGTTTTTGTTTATTTTTCCAGTCAGCTTTTTGTCTACACTGTTTTCCAGACACAATACACTCGCAGGAAGCACAGTGGTGGGCTCCGCTTTTAAACCTGAAATTATGAATGTGTTATCATGGACTGGGTTCTTAAAATAAAGAGTCAGTTCACTGGTTCTAAGCAATGACTGTGATTTACTTAATGATTTTATTACAAAAGTAAAGGTGGTGTTAAAATATTACAAAAGTAGATGCAATTATTCAATCTTAATTGCTTTAGAAGAATTTCAGGATTTGGACTGTGGCCTAATTACTTCTCCATCACTTTTTCAAAGCCACAGTGTCCCCAAGTATTCCGAATCTCCTGGAACTGGTTGTAAGACTCCTCAGAGCACAGAAGTGTTCAAAGATTGGGAATCTTTTTTGCCCCACACACAGATTTCTACTTTGAATTACAGAGATGCACATTTCCACGGCTAGCTTCATGCTCATCTCCAATAAACTCAACTCTGCATGACTTCCTTGATATTAGTGGTTTCAAGGCACCCTTATGTGCTGAGTACGTACCACTTGTATTGTTCCTGAAGGCGGTACTCGATAACCCCTTTTGCCGAGGGACTCTAAAGTAATTACACCCTACAAAAACAAAACCAATATTTAAGTCACAGAGATAAACAAATCAAAATGTTCTAGTCATGTAATTGCATTTATTTGAAACATAATCAGTAACTTATAAAAACTAAAAATAGAGAAGGCAATGCATTTACGATGCAGTTAAAAAATCAACAGTAGGGGCCTTAAAGACACTTTGGCAGACCATTAAAAGCTGTGCAATAAGAGGTACATTCTCCTGTTGAAACAAGATTCAAGTTTCCACATCTTCTCCACATCAGGGAGCTAGGACAAAACAGAGCTTTCTTTTCAAAGCAGCTGGGAGGTTAAACCAAAAACATTTGTCCCCTCCTTTCCATTTCTATATCATCTACAGTCGCATCAATAATACTCCAAATCTCACAGAACTCATTTTTGCTTTTCAAAGGCAGCAGATGCACTTAATCTTCCATTCTAATCCAAACCTTAGGAAGGATGACATCTGCTTTTGTACCAGCTGTGCCCCCCAGGCGCTGGCCACGCTGGGGGCAGTGCCACACGTCCGGGCACCCCGCAGGGCACCAGCGCCGCACCCCACTGCACCCCGGCTCTTCAAAAACACCAAACAAACGCCCAGAAAAAGACCCCGCAGCAGAGAAACTAGCTGTACAAACAGAAACAATGTTTCTGACGATGGAGGCACTACACAAATGCTGTATTAATCCTGGGAGACTCAGCCATAATAGCATATTTGGAAATAGCATGTGGAAAAGCCTGAAACAATGAAACCCAGCTAGGAAAATAAGCAATGCTACTTTTAACCATTTGAGGAACATGAGAATCCCTTCACCTCCCAGAAAATCACATTAAATAATCTAGAAAGATGAAAGCAAAGGAATAGATACTTTTTGCAGTGGTAAAACATATACAAGTTTAAACTCAAAGCCATTACTTAAACTCTAAGCAATTTTATTTTCTGAATACTCTCCAAAACAGAAGGTCAGAAATGGTAACTGCTATGAATTTAAAATTTAAATCTAAATACTGGGATACTCAGATGTTCATTGCTTGACTTCCCCATTTAAACAAACCCTTTACTGTATATTAGACAGATGCACACATATGAAAATCTCTAAAAATTGGACCTGTCACCTACGTAAAATTAAGGCTCCTTAACAGGCATTCAGAACAAATCCAACCTCTGATTCAATGCCAGCATACAAGACACCATTTTCTTTTTACAGAGGAGCACTTTTAGACACGCAAAGCCCGTGTGGAACAGAATTAGCACCCAGAGACTGAGAACACAAACACTGCATGGCTGCAAACATCAGTAAACCATGCAGCCTGTGAGGGTGCTGAGTGTCACCACAGCCCTGGCAATATCTGCTTCAAAAGAAAGGGCTGAGTAACTTCCAAGTCTAAGGTCTCCATCAGCCCCTTGGCCTGCACCTAAGCCCCTCTGCAGAGTGGTTAGTTGCCCAGAGCAGCTGCTTGTTGGGACAACAAAATGTATCCCGTTAAGTCCAGCTATTGCCTCACTGCTATTTTAAGTTAGATGGATAAAAAGAGATGCTGGGGGTTGATCACTGCAGTGTGAGGGGAGACAAATACATTCAATAGCCCAAGATGAGAACAGCTAAATGGCGGGGCAGAGAAGTAGAAGGAAAATCACTAGTTAGGCAAAGGAAGAGGGACAGGAGAACTCTGTCATAGGCAGTTGAAAATAAGCCAGATCCCTGCAAATCTTTACTTTCTGAACCCTCTACTCACCAAGCTCTTGCTCTTCACCTCCACATATCAGAACTTATTTAAAATAAATCCAACCACACATTTACCATGTAAGGAGAGGGAGCATTGTCATCTGAAACGCTGTAGAATGACACTTCAACTGGCAGAGTCATGTGCGTGGGACAAAAGACTCCACTTGCTCCCACCTCTGCTGTGAAACCCTCCACGACACCGAGCGGGTCCAAGCGGAAATTCAGGACAGATTCCTGAAAAACAAAGCACACACGGCTTAGCTTGGAACACCTCAAATAAAACAAAGCATTACTTCTGTAATAAATTCTGTAATCAGGAAACAAGTGCAAAAGCCCACAGAGAACTTTATTGCAGCAGGATCTATTCTTGATTTTCAACATATACTATCTGAAAAATATAAATTAACCTAGATTCTGTAACCTTCCCCAACAAATGCAACTCTGTATTTCACAAGACAGTACAATATAAGCAGTTGAGGCACTGGCTAATAGCTGCTGTTATTGGATGTGCTATATGAAGTGAAGAGCTGGAGCTTACACTTCAAACACATTCTGTTTAACACACTGATTTAATCCAGCTTTAGTGACATACTAAGTAGACTTTAAGAGTGAAATGTAAATCCTTTTTTCTAGGTAAGTACATTATAAACATGAACAATTACAGGTCATTAAATCTCATTTATGGCAACAGAACATCTTCTAACTTGACCGTAGTGGGAAACAAAGGCTTAAGCAACTCATTGTATTTGATTCTCGGAGACAGAAGATGTCTGGGGATTGAAATAAGTACCTTTATAGCTGGAAATGAAAACAAATTTTATTCAATTCAGTTAGGAACTTTCACGTTCTAATAATGCTGGAATTGTTCACAGTAATATACTTTTAAAAGCAGTACAGAAGAGCATTAAAAATACCACAAGAATTCTAGAGAATATGCAATACCTCAAAGTTTCCCAGAAGGCTCAGACTTGTTACTGGGGGAGCACTAGAACTTAGAAATGGTTTCCCATGGCTGTCTGGATCACCATCTTTGTTTATACATTGTTGTGGGCTATTAAAAAAAGACAGAATAAATATAAAGGATAAACACATTTGCTTTTGTCTTCTGGGTATAAGCAGCTCTAGAAAGAATAATTTACTTAGTGTACTACAAAATGCTGTCCTAAAGAAGTAACAGTTGAACATTTAAAACTTTAGCAGAAGGTTTTCCAGTTAACTGAAAAAATATTTTTACCAGCTTTACATTACAAGGGGTAAAGACAATAAAAATTTATTCTTTAAATAAATTAGCTCCATTTGCAGGAATCAAAATATCGTATTTTCTCTTGTATGTGGGTACTTTTGTCTCATATTCTGAGATATATCTTATATTTCCAACATCAAACTACCATACCAAAAGCTGTTTATGTTACATCTATTAATGTATGAAAGGGCATGATTGGCCCTTTTTAAAAGTCTGGTTCTCTGAACAAGTGAAGACAAAATGCTTAACATGTTCAACACTAAGAACAAAATACAACACAAAAATAACATTGCTTTGAAGGAGAATCAACAATTACTAGCTTTTCTGTCTGAAAACTCAAGTGTATCTGACAGCATACCTACCCCTGCATGGGACAGGATTCATTCTGCCAGCAGCTCTCATTCCATGGCTATGTCCCAGAGCTGTGCTAACCTGGAAACTCCCAGAGCAACTCAGCTGCTAAGCCTTGTATCAAAATAAGGATTCTTTTGAAAGCAGTTTTTGGCTTTGCTAACATGCTTTGATTTTGCATATAAATATATATATATACATTATGCCTCCCGCAAAAATCTCAGTGTTTCTGGTAAATAAAACATACCTTCTTGCAGACAGACATTTCAACAATGATGAATCCAGATCAAAGCACCCAGACTGTGTTTTCCTTTGAGGAACCTCAACAAGGAAAGAAGATGTTAATTTGAAAACTGAACTGCTACCACAGACAATTTTGCCAAGTATGCACAATTTGCCAAGAATTTTCATGACATTACAAAATTACAAAAACAGAGCAGAGAATGTAATTCCTATACATTTTAAACTTAGTGAATAAAGTTCTAGGATTATTAGTGATGAGACTGGAAATTCTGATTAACAGGAAGTATTTCAATAAAGACATTCAGGAAGCTGATGCTCTTTGGACCAGGACAGAATATTACTAATAAACAGGCTGTAACAATATCCATCCAATTTCCCTGAAAATATGACAGCCTTTACAGGCAATAAAGAATAAAGCACATCATGTGTTGACTACAGGACATCACTACTTCAGTAGTTTTAATAGGAACTGCCTGTTTTTTAAAACTCCAAACAACCTACTGAGAACTGCAACACTTCCCCAGTGTCTGCCTTATCACTGCAGCTTTGTTCACTAAGTCATTCCATTACACCTCTGGTTACTGAAGAATATACAGTACAAACTGTTCACAGAAACAAAGGCTTTGGAATAATGGGCAACCAGGTGTTAAAAATGAACACAAAACCTCCTAAAAGATCAAATGTTAACTTACGCTTAAAACACTGATCTTCCAAATGCTTTTTGTGCTCTAAAATAGCACCAAAGCATTGTTTCCATCCATTTCTCAATTTAATGCCACCTTTTGCTAATCTTGATATGATCTCAACAGCCTTTAATATTTTCTTTTCCAAAATTACATTCAGTCTAACTTACATGTTAACTCTCATTTAAGCATTAATTTCCACTCATAAGAGTATTCGCTGCGACACAAAGTAAATACACACCCTTCACCTAGGTATTTTGTCAGATTTTATACCATGCACAGAGATTAGAAGAACAAACAGTCCCTTTCTCACTAAAAGAATTTCAAGAATAACTTACAGGACTGGAAAGCAGAGGCAGTCCAGTTCTGGGATGAAAAGCCTTGGTTGAAGTTCCATCCAGGGATCGAAAATTGTGTTTCCGCCAGGTATTTGTGTGTTTTAGAGGTGGTGCTTTCTGCCAGCAAAACAAATTTACTGAGGTTACCAGTGGGATATTTCAGTGACCTATCATGGTAATGCTCCCTTGCTGAAAGGGAGAAGACTCCTGACCCAGGTGGATCTACATCACACTAGCACAGGATGAAACACTCCGTAGAAATTCCCCTTGACTCCCTCTACAGTTACACAGCCTGCCCCTAACAGATCACATTCCATACTCAGATGGGTGTATTTCTACAAACCAGGATGCCTCACTGCCCAGGGAAACATCATCCATAACTCTGTCACCATGAGGGGAATAGGACAGTTAGTCATTCTCCATGTTAAACTGATGGATTTTAGGGGAGGCACCACTGGCCAAATTACCCCATCACACAGAATCATCTGACAGGTCACCTTGTCAGCTAGGCCATGGCACTAAACTGTTTCTTGAACACCTCCAGGGATGGTGACTCCACCACCTGGGCAATCCATTCCCATGCTTAACCCTTTCCATGAAGAAATTCTTCCTGAGTTACTTCAGGCCAAGACTACAATGGTAACATGCTGCTACCTGCAAGGTCAGGCTGAAACTCCCCTTCATGCTGGCTCTTAGCAGAGAGAGGGTACAAGCTGTGTGACAAAGGGCAGCTAGAGGAATTATTGTCTGTTCCCGTATGGACTTACCTGTACATCTGGGTTCTTCTGCCGCTCACACTTAACCACATTGTCTTCTGCAGGTTTCTTCTGAGAAGTGCTTTGAAAATCAAGGCCTATTGGGTCTTCATTTTCATCATGTGCAGATTTTGTTTTATCTTGTTTGGTTTTGGTTTTGAAACTGTCATGGTCTTTATTTAAATAATTTTCAATACTAACAAGTTGTGTATTTTGCTCATAAATAACTGGTTTTTTGGAGTCTCTGTCTAAACACTTGAGCTCATTTTTGTGCAAAGAGTCAGATATCGGTATCACAGTTGCTTTTTTTGTACCTTCAAGTATTCTGCATTTTTCTATCTGTAAATTATTAAAACTGTCTGTGCCATTGTTCTCACTAACAACTGTTCTTTCTTTAAGTTTATTTGTGCAAATCTGTTCATCAATGCTGCTGGAATTTGAACCCTGTTTAATTCTATTGGTTATCTGGTCTTTCTGTGCATAACCAGAATGTATTTCCAATTTATCTGGAATTTCAGATTTGTTTTCTTTAATACATGATGATGATATGTGAATGCTACTAAATGCATGAGAAGTTTTATTTGAAGTCTGATGAAATGAATTTTGGACAGCTTCACTGGGTTTTGCTAAAACCAATTTTCTTCTTGCTTGGACTTTTAGAGAAGTCTTCAATTCTCCATCAAACCTAGAAGGACTGATAGGGGTATCAGGTGTCTTTGTCCCCGATTTACTGCTGTCTTCTGACAAAGAAAATTTTGATTTAGCAGAAGAAACAGAAGACGGTTCCTTGCCTTTCTTCAGCAAATTTTCATCTTCATATGTACTTCGGAAAATTTTTGACGTGACTGGACTAGCCTCATGCGCTTTGAATGGATGTCCAGCAACATGGGAAGTAGCTGGATCACAATGAATCAAGTGCTGGGCAATCCTTGCTATCACCTCCTGCCGCTCCTGGAGCAGGGAATCAATCAGGGGGTTACCCTCTCCTGCCGACTGACGGCCACAGTGGTTCCCTGGAACACGGGCATTGAGCAGGGTGACCTCTGGCACTGCTCTAGTTTTGCCTTCATCACCATCCTCCTGTATTGCACTGTCTAAGTTGGCAGCAGGAACAGGGGAGCTTTCCTTGCTTTTCCTTGGCAAGTTTTCCTCTTCAAAAGTGCTCCGAAAAGCTTTTGGTGTAGCTGAGATGTTTTCATGTGTGGTGAATGGACGCCCAGCAACAACTGGTGAAGTAGCTGGATCACAGTGAATCAAGTGCTGAGCAATCCTTGCAATGACTTCTTGTCGCTCTTGAAGTAAAGAGCCTATCAAAGGATTGGTTTCTCCTGTGGGCTGATGAGAGCAATGACTATTTGAAACACGGGAATCGACCAGAGAGTAAGATTTAAAAGTTCTGACCGGTGTTTCATGAGACTGTGTCTTATTGTCTGCTGTGGCATTATAGCACTGAACTTTAGACTGCGATGCCCCAAAGTCAGATCCAAGTCCAGTAGATGGATAAAGCTTCAAATTTCTAAAAGATGTAGTAAATTCAGGCATCTTTTTTCCATTAAGTAGGCCTTCAGGTGTCACTGTCCATGTCTGTTTCCCACGAAAACGCAGGGGACTGGAAGTACTGCATTGCTGAGCAGCACCGGGATCGCTGCGCTGATGGAACTTACGCTCTTGCATTTGCTTTTCGTAAAAGCTAAGGTTGGTGTGAATACTACACGTCAAAACTGGGTAGTTGGATTGCCTGGGCAAGGACTGGACGCTGACCCTCAAGGCCACATTGTGAGAAACATTAGGAACAGGAAAGACATGCTCAGTGGGTGTCTGGGAGAACGTCCATTGCAAGTCCACATCTGCAGCGCTCACCCTGAAACAATACCGAAGGGCATTTACAAAAACAGCTGCATGAAAAGTTTTAAATTATCTACTTTCTAACAAATATCTAAGAAAAAGCACTAGAAACATCAGCAACTGCTGTACTTTGCATAGTACACAAATCCTATAGAACCAGGCCAACAAAATGTCACCTTCTAAAAGCAAGCAGGAAACAGGAGAGAAGAATGATTTCAAGACAAGCTACAGCAATCTGCAAACAGCAAGGAGCTTTTTTCCATTGCAGACGTACCTGTACAGGATGTTTCGGGGAACAGCACCATGTGAAACACTCAGCCACGCGCTCAGCTGAGAGAAGAAAACAAAGGAGCGAACAGCCAGTAAAAGGGTCTTCTCTTCTATAAATCGATCTCCACTCCTAAGCATTTAAAGACAGACACATGAGTGTTGGTAAGAATCTTCAGAGATTTATTAGAACTAGAACACTGTCAGATCTTTGGTCAGAAAATAAAATATAGCTAAATCAAGCAAAGCAAAAACTCCTCAAACATTCTGAAGTTTCCAGAGCCTGATTTGTTCTTATACACATGAAAAAGTTTGACATAACAAATGTCACATGTTACCATTTGCAGCCAGGATCATTTCATACTCTGCACTGCACAATGGACACTGCAGAAATTTTGAGTATGACTAAAACGGAAATGCTTCGATTTCACTAGCAAACAGTGGTTTTCCTAGATCAGTCCTCATGGCAAAGAGCCAGCTCAAAAACACTAACTGATTACTTTAAGGACCTAAATATGACAAAATTCTTGCACTTATCAACTAATCCTCATATCCAACTTACTGTCGAGGAACTGGCTCCAAAATCCACCTTTCTAACAGCAATGCATCTTGTTTGATTGCAGGATCATTTAAATCATTCCCCTCTGTGGTGGGCCCTTCATCACTATAGCAACAGTCTGGAAGTAGCATCACTTCTACCATGATTGGAATATTGTTCTTCCACAGAAGCATAACCTCAGATCTGGTTCGCCTGGCCTGACGACACTGAGGGAAAGCAAAATGTCAACACACATTAGCCATAAAAATATTAGCCAGATTTAAATGCTATTTAAAAGCACATTCCAAAACACTAGAGAAGGGTAAAGGTCAAATTCTGTTTGGTTTCACCAAATCAGAAATAAGATTCCAGAGACATTAAATGAAAAAATAATTAACACCTCCTTTACAGTCGCCATTTGAGCAACTTTCTTTAGGAAATTTAAAAAGCTTGTAAAAATGCATTTCCCCAGCCACTGCACTTTGCTACCTTGTAGTTATCTCTCCACAAGGCACCCTCTTGGGTAGACAGACTCAAGCAGTATCTTTATAAATTCTGTATCTTGGAGCAGGCTAATTTCTGCATTAATATAACTTAAATTCCCACAGTACTTAAGAACTTTTACTTGAGAGATGGGATGCTCCAACCTTACTCCCAAACAGCCTGGCTAGATTTGATGTGCTTGTGTTTTTTGTATCACTAACTTTTCCAGAACACCTGGAAAAGCAAAAAGTTAGGCAAGCCAGCCTACATTTTCTCAAAAGAAACCCCAGACCAAGAATACTAAGTATAGTGCTTGTCATTTGCATAATAAAGATTCAAACAGGCACTGCATTCAGGTAGTGTGCAGAACTTCATGTTCAAGAATAAAAGGCTTAATGATCTCTCATTTTAAGGACAGATCTATTATTAGCAGGATACTGAATTACACACTCATTTAAATGAAGGACTGCCAGAAAGCCATTGTTACTCATGCTGAACTGTGAATCCACTGTGGGGCTCTTGGCTGACTTTAACCACAGGAGCAAGGATCTGTGACATGAAATGGGTACCACCACCATACCTGAGCCAGTTTGTCGCTGCATTCATGCTTAGTTGTTGGTGGCTGACTGGACTGTGCTGGTGGGCAGTGAAAGCCCTCTGTCCTGCCCTTGATCGAGTGCTCTGGTGTCCGGCCCTCAGTGATCAGCAGGGCCAAGGAGACCAGGAACTCCTCAGCTTCATACTCAAAGTATTCATCCAAAGTATCTGCCATTGCAAAAAGACAAAAATTAATTTGTTATACATTTGCTGTATAACAACTGTTGGCTGACCCTGCAGTTTGTTTCAATTACACTTGAAATGAGAGTGGGCTATCAGAAATGGATCTTTGTGTCAGACTGGCTGCATTCCCCATAAAAGCGATGACTCCCCACTCCAGCACCACAAAACAACTTTCCTTATCTCGTAATGTTGTCACTACAAACAAAGAACTTTGTTTTTCTACAGCTTTTCTAGAAGACAAAAGGTTTCCTGGGCTCTTGTGGGAGAAGTCTAATGACAGTATGACTTGGCATTGTTATTATCATCTGACAGATGGAATAAGAAGCCACAATATATCATAAAGTAGATTAAAAATTGAAGAAGAAGAAGAAAAAGAAATATTTATTTCTATTATGGAAAAAGTGGGACACAATGTTCTTTAAGATTATTATTGCAAGTCCCTCCTGTTGAGAGCAAGGCTTACTTCAGAGGTCCATTTTTAGTTACCACTAACACATAGGAAATGTTCTGAAGAAACATACAGACCATTCATTGTTTTGTACCACGGTCAGTCTAAACTTGTGCAAAGAATGAAAATTCAACAAGTCTCTGTAGACAAAGCAGCAGCTGGCATTGCTCTCCATGAAGAGGCCTGGCACACTCAGTTCCTGCAGAGCTGAGGCACCATTTTATGGTGTTTTATAGAGCACCCTTCTCCTCCTCCTCCCTCATCACGAGGATGTCACCCATCATTCAAACAGATTTAAGTACAACTAGATCATGTCGTTCCCCTCACTGCTTCAAAACACTTCAAGTTTCAAAATTATTTAATTACTGAAGAGGTTACAGAAAACTCTCTTTTCCATGAAAGCTAAAATACATTCCCTTCAAAGTCTATTTTAAGAGCAGCAAAGAAAAGCGGGTGGAGGCAGGGCTGCCAGCAGTTCTTTACCTTTATTTTGATGCTTTAGGGGAACAAAAGCACCTGACATCTTCACAATTTTAGCTTAAATGTCCTATGTCATCCACCAAAACTGCCACAGGGAGAGAGTTAATTTCTATTCACGTTTCAATTATCATGCATAAAATACCTTTCAGAAGCCTTTTCTGTCTTGGTCTCCTAATAGCAGAGCATTTGGCAAACACTGCAGGCAGACTTGAGAGATGCATACAAGAATGGATGCATGAAACAAAAGCTCCAATTAAACGTGCAATTATCTGCATATGCAAATCATGAAGTGTGTAAAACTAGCTTTTGCATGTACATATTTGCCTAGCCCAGGCTTGTACACCATGGACCCCAGGGCTTACAGACTATTTGAAGGGATCTACACAAGGTAAGTAAGAGAAGTCAGCCCACTGCTGAAAAAGAGCCAGAGAACAGATGAATTACCCTGGAGGACTCCATATGGCATGTGAACAATACATTAATTCACCTGGCATAAGTTAAAATGGTCATTCACCTGATGGATGGCAAAAAATGTCTAATAAAGGGTGCATGAAAGATTAAAGGAATGGTAAATAACAGAGAAGACAAGCCTCTTAGGTAGCGATATGAGTCACCTACAAAATTAGGGACCTGCACTTTTTTTCCAGCTGGAAGTCTGGTAAACAATAGGCAAGTCATACTTGGGAATAGGAAAATGGAATTTGGGAAGATTCTGAAAAGGATTTGGATATACAACACACAAAAAAAATAATTGCAGCATTATCTTGCTGCTAAGTTCATCTTTGTATGTCCAAAGGCCATGTTAATTTCAAGAAAATCACAGCAGGAAGGATCACTACTGGAGTATTTCGCCTACTCTGACACAGAAGTTCAAATATCTAGAACGTGTTCAACGGGAATGAAGTTAATTTAAGCAAGAATTGTCTCATGCTTAGCAGACTAAACAAAACTAATTCACCCCTACAAAAATCTGCAAGAAGAATTGGTTTTAGTTAAAATACGTAAAAACACATATGATCTTTAGGAAAAACTGTAAAGAGAGTGTGATCAAAATTAGCATAGCAAAATGTGATATAGCACAGTAAAATGTGATACCTGAAAATTTACACTAGAGAATTTTAAGTGGCAAGTACCAGTAAAACAGACATGCCCTAATTATCATTAGCAGCTTACCAGATGAAGCAGTAGACTTTCTATTATTTAGCTCTCTTTTTAAGAAGCTAACCCATATGTTATTAAAATCTTTTGGACTTGACACAAATTAATGGACAAATCCTATGGCCTGAGTGCTTCTGCTGAGCAGTTAGATTTAGGTAAAAAAAACCCCACCCCTTTTTTGCATTAAAGAGTCTCTGATACCAAAGCTTACATTGCATACCTAAAGTGCTCAGTGCCCTCACAGAGCTGTCACAGGTCACTACAAGGCATGGACAGTTTAAAATGTTCAGATGAAAGACCCAGTGAACAGAAAATAAGCAAGATCTAGTGAATAAAGCCAGGTACATATTCTGAAACAATCAGCACTCAAGAATCAGATTACATACACAATATTGATTTATGTAAACAGATAAAGCTCACTTCCAAGTTCAATTTACAAATACTGCCTGTGTTCCTGTATCATAACTATCATTTCAGACGCCAGTTTCTTGCCTTAAGAATGGAAGAGAAGGCCCAACTAGCTAAAGAGACATATTTATATAGTTATATTGGCTGCAGTTACAAAAACACCACATTGCTTCAAAATAAAAATGACATCACTAAAAAGCCCCTGTTGAACCAGGAAATGCTGCAGCATTATAAAGACAGGGCCAGTACTTTAAAATTATGTCAGCAAGGTAATCAACCAGTTATTTGATCTGGACTTAAAAAGAAAAAAAAAAATTAAAGCACAAACAGCAAGAGTTATCAAGAAATATATTTTTTTTCCTACAAAGTTCATGAAGCATAATATCTTTCTGTAGCTCCACTAGATTTATATATAATTAGCAACTTCTAAGAGTTTTCAAAGAAAAAGACCCTATAACCATTGAGAGGCCTGGTAATTGTTCCTATACAACAGACACAGATGATGCAAGTTGATGCAATTGAGGACAAGGGTGGAATGACATTTATAGAAACAGCAAACTCAGTGTTTAGTTAAAAAAAGTCTTACTGTGTGTGTGCTGTAACTGTTTGGTTTTGTGTATGAATCAGCCCTAGGACACATCATATATTGTGTATAGAATAACCTCAATCCTATAACCTGACTATACAACTATGGCTATTGTTCTGCTTCATTTCTAGCACTGCAACATGCTAAGTATATAGCATAAAATAGGCATCTCTGCACTGTCTGGGGTTTATTCTCCTTAAAATAGAAAAAAATCCAGTTATTTGACACAAGGAAGTAAGAATTAAAGTAATAAGGTACTACAGCCCTCTAACCAATACATTGAAATTAAAGGTTATTGACCAGGTGGGCACAAGAGATAGCAGCAGGTGTCAGACCACTCTAGAAGGAAGAGAGAGAAATTTAAATTTAGACTGAAGGTACTGTGCTTAGTGCGAAGCATACAATACTGGAGAGGGGAATATACAATACTGGAACTTTGTTTTCCTTTGCCTCCTGCACATATCAACCTCAATAAAGACTGATTTTCTACACCTTCTCAAAAAACAGAAAATCCCATTTAACCAGAAATGTCAGAGTCTTCAAATCCTTGTCCTCCTCCCTCCACTACACACAGGTGCATGAGCACTGGAATACAGAACAAAAACCCACAATCCACCCCCCAAAACTAAAATTGGCTCACATCCTGAAACACCAATTAAGGTTAGTTATGTGGTAGTAGGGATTCACAAATCCACTTAACTGTAACCCAAGGACTCTCTGAAAACTTCAATTAATTGAGTTATGCTTAGCTGACTCCTTTCCCAACTAGGTCACGCTTGTGCAGACCAACTCCCTTCCCTTTCCTATCACAGTTTTTTCTGTTGTAATTGCAGAAGATGTTTTCCTGAAATACATGTTTTAGAAGAGCATTTAATCTGTTTTCTAGGCTTAGGCCAGGAAACAAAGACATTTGGTATCACGTAACCCGTTGTGTTCCAGGTGCCACCAGAAGATGCATCTGGGAGCTGCTACCCTGTCCTGCCTGGGCACAGCAAGGCAATAAAAGGCTCCAGCAGAGCCTCTCCTGCCCTTGCTACCCTCCCATCATGACCAGGCTGTGATACAATCACAATCTCTCTTAGTCCATGCTTATTGTATGGTCCTAGAACCTCTCATACTGCACTGCTCACCAAAACTGTCTACCAAACTTGCCCTCTTCTCAGAAAAAGAGCTCATTTTTGCACAGAGACTTTCTTCAAAGAAAGACAATTTAGTTCAACTGAAAGCATCCTTTAATCCTGACCTTTACTGATTGAGGGCTACTTCCTTTGAGAGTCCATGAAACAACTAATTATTGCCTTTAAATACGCTCTGCAACAGCCCAGACCTTTCCTGGAAAATCTTTAGATGCCTGTAATGGATTTTGAAGGCCACTGATTAAAAGTAATCACATTCCTATTTTACTTAGAAAGGTGAAACCCAGTAAGCAAAATACTTAACAAAATATGGACTGCATGGTGCAGCCTGTTGGGATTCCCAGCTGATGCAGCCCTGCTCCTGCCCTGCCCAGTGGGCACTGTGGCATGGCTTCCCACATCTGCTCTCTCCTTCTTTTTTCAAAGACTAAAAGCATGGCTTATGTACTTGGATTTCTTTGTTGTGCTTTCAGTACAGGCAGTCCCTAAGGAGACGCTTCAGTCCAAGGGTCCCATGGCAGGAGAGTCAGGTACACTGGAGGAGAAGTGGCTGCACTGCCAGAACTCAGAACCCATCACCTCCCAGCAAGGGCAGTGCCCTGCATTGAAAAAATTACAGCAAAAGCCCTTCCTGCAAATCAATCAACTCTGAATAAGTTTTATTATCTTGCTATTCCAAGAAACAGGTTAAAGGTACTTCCACATTTTAAGAGTAAGGCAGGGGTTCAAGAAACTACTGTAAAGGAAATGAAACACAATGTAAACCTTT